AAATCATTTGGAGAAAAAAAAAGGGGGGGGGGAGGGGACCAGGTTTGCTGGTCCGATAGAGCCTGGTGGAACCACTGAGACTATGGTCCCTAGCTGCCCTTCAGGTCTGGAATTGAACCCACCCCTGTGGTTTCCAGCCAAACAAAAGACAGACATATGAGTTGAACATTTACCTGAGGTAGATACACTCCTTGGAGAAAACAATCATGGGAGAAAGAAGGGCTATTTATGCACAGGGAGACAGCTTGGGGGCAGGAGTACATGGAGGGATGGACACTGGGAAGGGGTAATTATGGGGAGGAAGTGGGAGGGGAGCTGTTGCATTGTGGTGAACTGTGGTCAATGTCATGAGACAAAGTGTATGTGAACTGCTGTACGGAAAGTGAATCTGCTCTGTAAATCTTCACCCAAATCACACACACACACACACACACACACACAAGACTATGGTCCTGAACCTCCATATCCAGCAACTCATTCCTTCATGGTGTTTGGTTATGTCTACAAGTTTTCAGAACTGTTTCCCCTATATGTTCTACTACATTCATGGATATATTTGCAGTACATATAAATACATAGGCAGAGATAGTCATACCTATGTATATTCATGCATGTAGTTCCATTAGCCTTCCTATCCCTGCTCCAACTGAGTGTCTACCTATACATCTACTCATAAATTACTGTTACTACTATTATTGCATGATTGTGAATGCTACAGTATTCACCTTTGTAGACTTTAACTCTTGTGTTCTTCCCCACTACTTTGACCATTTTGGTATTGCAGGTTCTTAATGAGTCTTCCTCCAATTCTGATGCCATGTTTTCTTCATATAAACCAGCTTTTCAGATTATTTGCTCAGCATACAGACTGAATAGGCATAGTGAAAGGATACAACCCTGATACACACTTTTCCTGATTTGAAACAATGTAGTATCTCCTTGTTTTGTTTGAACTACTGCCTCTTGGTCTATATACAGGTTCCTCATGAGGTCAATTAAGTGTTCTGGAATTCCTATTTGTTGCAATGTTATCCACAATTTGTTATGATTCACACAGTCAAATGCCCTTGCAGAGTTAAAAGAACACAGCTAAATATTTTTCTGGTATTCTTTCCTTTCAGACAAGATCCATCTGACATCAGCAGACATTCCATGTCCTCTCTTGAATCTAGCTTGAATTTCTGGCAGTTCTCTGTCAATGTACTGTTGCAACAGTTTTTTAATTATTTTTGGCAAAATTTTACTTGCATGTGATATTAATGATACTGTTCCATAATTTCCACATTCTGTGGGATCAGCTTTCTTTGGATTGACACAAATATGGATCTCTTCCAGTCAATTGGCCAGATGACTGTCTTCTAAATTTCTTGGCATAAACAAGTGAGGGCTTCCAGCATTGCATCCCTTTGTTGAAACATCTCAGTGGTATTTCATCAATTCCTGAAGCCTTGTTTTATACCAATTCTTTCGGAGCAGTTTGGACTTCTTCCTTCAATACCATTGGTTCTTGATCATATGCTACCTCTTGAAAAGGCTGAATGTTGACCAATTCTTTTTAGTACAGTAACTCTGTGAATTCCATGCATTTTCTTTTGATGTTTTGTACATCATTCAATATTTTCCCCATAGAATCCTTCAACATTGCAACTCAAGGCTTGTATGTTTTCTTTAGTTGTTTCAGTTTGAGAAATGCCAAGCATGTTCTTCCCTTTTGAATTTATAACTCTCGGTCTTTGTACATTTCTTCTCAAGCTGCCCTTTGAAATCGTCTGTTCAGCTCTTTTACTTCGTCATTTCTTCCATTCGCTTTAGCTATTCTATGTTCAAAAACAAGGTTCAGAGTCTCTTCTGAAATCCATTTTGGTCTTTTCTTTCTTTCCTTTGATGGTATTTGAAATACCAGTGGCATAGCTTCCCACATCACACAAGGTACCACAGTATGACAATCTACCAGAGGAGTGGTGGATAAAATTAAATACCCATTCATAATAACCTCCCAGCCAACAAGAAACAGAAAGGAACAAATATATGTAAAACCTATAAGCTAGCATTATACTTAGCATTAAAATATCGGACTCTTTGCCTTGAATGTCAGGAACAAGACAAGAAGTTCACTATCACCATTTCTAGTCAACACTGTACTAGAAGTCCTAGTAATTACCATAAGGCAAGAAGAAGAGAAACAGATACATGAAGATTAGAAAGGGAAACAAAACACTCCTTATTTGTAACACACATGATTGAATCCATAGAAAAAAAACCCAAAGGAATTTATAAGTATATACAATTAGAATTAATAAACAGCAAGGTTGTTAAATACTAAAAAATTAACTGAATTTCTGTATAATAGCAGAAAGCAATTAGAAAATGAAATTTTATACCATGTATGGTAACACTGAAAATATTAAGTATCTTGGAATATATCAAACAAAAGATATGCAAGAGCCCAAAACTGAAAACTACAAAACACTGCTGAAAGAAAAATTTTTAAAGAGGATCCAAGTTAATGTAGGGGATATATTATGTTCATGAGTATAGGCGTCAATATTGTTAAGGGATTAAAAAAAAACCCTATTGCCATAGTCAATTCTGACTCACAGCAACCCATTAGTTCTCCCCAAATTGGTATAGATTCAATCCAATCACTATTAAACCTCAGCAGAATTATTTGAAGAAACTGACAAGATTATTCTAAATCATAAAATTTACAACATGCATATGTGAAGGCCCTAAAGTATGTAACACAATGTGAAGAAATTGGAACTCACATATACTGCCTATTGTTGTTGTTGTTATACATACTGCCTATGTTGTTGTTGTTATACTCATAGTGACCCCTCCTTGGGTTTCTGAGGCAGTGTCACTATGGAAATAGATTGCCCCATCTTCCTTCCGAGGAGTGGCTGGTGGGTTTGAACCGCCAGCCTTCTGGTTAGCAGTCAAGTGCCTTAGCCACTATGCTACCAGAGCTCCTATACTGCCTATAGGAATATGAAATAGTATGGCTACTTTGAAAAACAGTCAGGCAGAAGCTCAAAATGTTAAACATAAGAGTTACCACATGACCTAAAATTAATAAAAGTCTTATTAAAAAAAAAGTATGTGAGAAACAAAATATAAAAAGTCTATTTTATACTAAAACTAAATCTATGCTCTTCAATGACCAACATTTCCAGAACAGGCTGTTCTATGTAATACAGTGTAACTTTATCACTGCTGCTATACAAAGTAACCAGAGTCTATACCTCAGGATTCATCTTCCCCAAATCTGCTTTTTCAACACATCCCCTAGACTTGAGCCCATTATTCAATGTAACACACAAAAGTCAAAAAGCCTGATAGCCTCTTTTCATGATTAACATAAATTATCTTTCTGTCTTCAGAATGCTCGTAATATATTTCAACAAAACAGAAATGTCAGGGTTAGTTCTTTTTGCCAAAGCAATGTAAAAGAAGAAAACTGGGCTAGATGATAGGACAGATACAAAGCTTAAAAGTTTATAGCTAAATTACAGAAAAATATGTTTTCTCTATCCTAATATAGAAGTTCAAGCAACCTTTTAATTCTAGGCTCAGGATTTTCTTCTGACGAAATAAGTAACTATATTAATTGAAATTAATTGAAAAATTAACAATTAACTTATAATTCTACCAACTGCCAAGAGAAGGATAATTAATCAGAATTTTTCTTTCTAAAAATTAAAGCACTTCTCTGTGCCAGTCTGTCACAGTAACACCCATTAAACACTGACCTTTTGAATCTTATTTGTGCTAGTATTTTTTTCCTGAGCACCTAGTCCTAGTTTTTGACCTATTACTTTCATTCCATTCACAAGTTTGAAGGCTGCCATGAATCATCCCATATATCTTGGGGTGTAGTAAGACACCAATTCTATACAGGAAAAAAATGTAGTAATAGATCAAGATGCAGTGCCACATGATCCAAACAGAGGAAAACTTGGGGAAAGTAAAGGCAAAGAGGTGTCTATTAAACAAGAAAAGAATCTGTTAACTTTGTACATCAATGTGACTTTGCCCCCTAGCTTTTTTGGTCCATGCTCAATCATGATTTTTTTTTTGAAAATCTGGATACAACTCTGCTGGTGGTATTTTCTTTGATGCTGTTTTTATGGCTAGATGATTTTTCATGATTATCTAGTATTTAAAGGACAGAAATACTAAGGCACAACTTAACTACAGATACCTTTTTGTTGTTATAACCAATGGAAAATAAAATTTAAAATATACACTTAGGCCCCGTATTAGCAAACATTTCCATTTCCAAGACCCAGAAGTCATATTACAAAGCTAATTTAACAAAATGTAAAATTAGTGGAAACAGGTCTTTAGATTATTTATAAATAACAGGCTTTGGCTAGGGGGCAGTAATAAAACAAAAATCATAAAGACTGATAGGGTAGAATGACACATGGTCATTAAGTCCATGACCTTTTCCCTCCTGCTCCGTCCAGTCCCCCTCCCTACCATTACTATCTTCCATTGAAGGGTGGGTGTATTCTTCTGAATTTTTGTCCGATAAATGGTTTATTTGAATTCCAGGTTAAATAGCTTTCTTGAAGTTTGGGCAATTAAATTTAAGTTTCTTTTTTTCAGCATTTATTTGTTTTCTGTTTTTCCAAAATGCTAACCTTCTGTGGTAATTCTTTACATGATGAATACTGTTTCTTTCCACCAAGCCTTGAGGTAAATAGTTGGGAGGCAGCATTACCTCCATTTCCCATTTTAGCCTGTGGAGATAACCAGCTCTCATCCCAAATATTATCACCTATGGTCACTGACTCCAGGCATGGCATTCCAGTGGGAATCTCATCCTAGAATATATAAAAAGAAAAAAAAAGTGTTACAATATACAGTTCCAGTGAGGACGTATTTTAAAATTTAGGTTTACAATTTTTTTCTTTGACTTCCAGGTAAAGATGGCAGTTTGAATACATACATTACGTGAAAATATTTGGAAACCACATATCCAAAAAAGGAGTAGGATCTAGATTATATAAAGAACACTCCAAATGCAATAGTTAAAAACCAAACAATCCAGTTATAAGATAGGCAAATGTCATGAAGAGACATTTAACCAAAAAGGATACACATATGGCAGATAAGCATATGAAAAATGTACACATGCTTGAAAACAATTTGGCAGTTTCTTATAAAACTAAATATGCAATTACCGTATGACTCAAAAACTGCACTCTTCAGCATTTATCCCCTAAAACTTATGTTCACATACAATAGCACAAATGTTCATAGCAGTTTTGTTTATAACAGCTAAAAAATAGAACAGCCTAGATTAGCTGTCTTTCAGTGATAAATTGTTAAACAAACTGTGGTGCATAAATGCCATGGAATACCACTCAGGGCTAAAAATGAAAAAACTACTGATACATGCAACAACTTGCATGAATCTCCAGGAAATTGTATTATCAAAAGGTTACATACTGTACACTTATGTAATATTTTTGAAATGACAAAATTCTAAAAGTAGAGAACAGATTAGTAGTTGCCAGTGGTGGAGACAGAGGTGGTAGGGTGGTAGGAAGGAAAGATGTATAGTTATAAAAGGGCAATATGAGAGATTCTTGTTCACTATCTTGACTGTGGTGCTGGATACACATACTTGTACTTAGATTAAAATTATAGAACTAAATATATATCTACCCACACACATTAGTATAACTAAAATTAGGGGAGTCTGATTAAGCTTTGTGGATTGTATCAAGGTCATTATCTTAGTTGTGATATATTATACTGTGATTCTGAAAAATGTTTCATTGAAGGAAAACAAAGATCACATGCCATCTCTCTATATTATTTCCTTATAATTGTACATGAATCTTTAATTATCTCAATTAAATTTTCAATTATAAAATAAAAAAAGAAAGAATACCAATTCTATATAATCTTTTCCAGAAAACAGAAGAGGAGAGAACACTTCCCAAATCATTTTATGAGGTTGGTATTACCCTGGTACTAAAACCACGCAAAGACAGTACAAGTTAACTACAGACCAATATCCTTCATAAGAATAGATGTAGACATCTTCAACAGGGTATTATGAAATGGAATAAAGCAACGTATAAAAGGAATAGTGCACCATAACCAAGTCAGGCTTATCCTAGGAGTGACAGGCTGGGCTAGTTCAGTATTTGGAAACCTATCAATGTAATAACCATCGTCATAAAATAAAGGAGAGAAAAAAAAAACATGATCATATACATACATACAGAAAAAATATTTTAACAAAATTCAACATCTATTCATGATAAAGCCTCTTGGCACAATAACAATAGATAGGAACTTTTTCTGCACGATAAAGGACATATATAAAAAACACTTTGAGCTAACATCATACTTAATGGTAAAAGAAAGAATGCTTTTCTTCTAAGATTAAGACCAAGAAAAGGATGTCTTCTCTCACAATTCGTATTGAACATCATACTTGAAATCCTAGCTAGTGCAGTAAGTCAGAGAGAAAAAGAAAAGTAATACTGGAAAGAGCTAAAACTGTCCCAATTCTTTGACATTATTGTCCTTGTAGAAAATCTCAAAAGAATCAACAAAAAAACCTGGAACTATTGAGTTTAGTTAGTTCACAGGATACAAAGCCAAATACAATGCTAGTCAAAATACTAGCAATGAAAAATGGAAACAAATTTTAAAAACACCATTTACAACAGCTCCAAAATTAATTAAGTGAAATACCTAGGTGTAATCCTAATAAAACATGTACAGCTTCTGTATACTGAAAATTACAAAACTTTGATGAAGAAATAAAAGGAACCTTAAGCAAGCTAAGAGATATAGTGTGTACACAGACGGAAGACTCAACATAGTAAATATGTCAGTTTTCCTCAAATTTATCTATGGATTTAATGCAATCCCAACTAAATCCCAGCAGGATTTTTTTTGTAGATACAGACAAAATTATTCTAAAATTTACATGGAAAGTAAAAGGAACTGTGATATTAAATACAGCTTCAAATACTCATTTCTAATCATTGCATAATTCCTTAAGACTGCCAAAAGACAGGGGAATAGTAATGAATACATCAAACCAGACAATGACTTTTATTTTTTGTGAGCAAGGCTGTATTGCTAACTTTAGTCTTTGTGACTACTGAAGAAAGATTTGTAATTAACCTGTGGAAAATGTTGTGATGACACTGAAAGCAGTAGAATTTAATTCCAGTCCCCTCCACTCATTAGTCAATTATATTATAACAAACACTTTTTTTCTCTTACCTCATTTTCTTCCTTCAGATTCTCTGACACTGAGTTGGGCCACTTGGGATCTTCTTCACAGCTCTTATCTTTGGTTTTCAAAGAACTGAACTCAGAATCCTTTAACTCTGACTCAGATTTAAGGTGACTTAAAGCCTTTTCATCATTAATAACTTGCTAATAGATATGAAAGAGAAATTATTTTTTTGGTACTAATGATGTTTCCAAAATCTACATTCCTTTAAATTTGAGTGGGAACTTTTCACTATGGCTCACATAAATTCTACATTATTTTTTAATTTTATCCATGACCCTGTCTTCACACTCTGCTAGCCTAGTTCAGGCAAACAATCGTTTATTGAGTACCATGGTGTAGTGTATTACTTACTATGGCTCTTCTAGCCATGGTCTTTGTGACTGCCACCAGATTACTGGGTGGAACTATGCAAATGTGAGGTGCTGTGGTCTACCAAGGGGATTGGATAGCTTGGGTACATGACACCCTTGTAGGGCTAGGACCATGGAAATAAGGTGCATGGAACCCTAATGTGGGGATTGGTCTATTTTGTCATTCTTCTAGACTTAAAATTAGGCCTCCAGAGGTAGAGAGGGGGATCTTACTACCATCCATTCAGAGAAGAGCTGAGAGTGGAGCTCCCATCCTTGGACCCAAGATTAAGGCACTGAGAGACGGCAGAGGGATGAGGAGAGACTGGCACTAGATAGAGAGGCGGACTTGACAGCCCACAAAGTGAAAGAGCTGAGTGCCTTTGGGCAGGAGGCTTGTTGGTGGAGTGGGGTGCACCTAAGCTCACCTACTGGCAGAGCTTTGTAACACTTGCCTGAGCAGGGTGGAGGCTAGGCCGAAAGGCCAAGGGCCAAAGAAGTGTGCTTATGGATATGGCAAAGAGGAGACTGTCCTGATCCAAGAATTGTATCCTGAGTGTTAATGAACCTGAATTGTAACCTCTTACTTCTCTACTAGGGAGCTCTGGTGGCATAGTGCCTAAGGCATTTGATAGCTAACCAGAAGGCTGGAGGTTCAAACCCACCAGTCACTCCCCGGAAGGAAGACTGGGCAATCTACTTCCATAGTGATACTGCCTCGGAAACCCAAGGAGGGGTTGCTATGAGTCGAATTGACTCGACAGCAGTGAGTTTGGTTTTTTTGGTTTACTTCTCTAATAAACTCCACAATCGTGACTACTGTCTGTGAGTTCTGTGTGGCCACTGCAATGAATTACTGAACCCAGCAGAGAAGTAGAATGCCGTGGGAGGGACAGTGGTGTCAGAACTGGTAAAAAGAAAAGCTGGAGGATGGCAGTATGGCTTCATAGCAATCAGCTTTGGGCTGTTGGTATTGATCCTTCTCTCTTCCCCTTGTGAAGCTGGAAGAGGTCAGAGGATGCTGCCTCCACATTCTTTTTGCAATGTCTAAAGAGTAGCTCTTTAGATACAAAGACAAATACAACAGGTTGGAACTCTAAAGGAAATAAAATTAGAGTTGGAAGACATACAATCATATAATCAGAATATAATATTCAGTGTAGAGACAGCACAAAGATATAACTGAAATATAATTAATCTTTGAGAAGATGAAATGAAGGAAATAACAACTGTTAGGATGCTTAAAGGATGAGTAGGAATTAACAGGTGACTAGGTATAGAAAGGCAGGTACATATGTGTGTATGTCTGTGTGTTTAGTATATAGATAGATGTACATATTAAAATACAGACTGGGGTGGGATAAGAGTTTTTTTTTTTTTTTTTTTGGGGGGGAGCCTTATCTATCTCTTTGGCCAAAAAGATGGCCTTATTTCATATTCAAGACTGAATTATGATTATTTGAAGACACTAACAATGATGGTCTGTGTGAAACAGACCATTAACTGCTCATATAAAAGTTCAAGCTGAAACTGAAGACAATTGAAACAAGTCCAAGAGGGCCAAAATATGACCTTTATTGTATACCTCCTGATTTTAGAGACCATCTAAAGAACAGATTTGATCCATTGAACACCAATGACCAAAAACCAGAGGAATTGTGGGATGACATCAACAACATCATCCATGAAGAAAGCAAAAGGTCAATAAAAAGACAGAAAAGGAAGAAGAGACCAAAATGGATGTCAGAATAGAGCCTGAAACCTGCCCTTGAGTGAAGAAAGCAAAAGGTCAATAAAAAGACAGAAAAGGAAGAAGAGACCAAAAATGGATGTCAGAATAGAGCCTGAAACCTGCCCTTGAGTGGAGAGTAGCTAAAGCAAATGGAAGAAATGACAAGATAAAAGAGCTGAACAGAAGATTTCAAAGAGCAGCTCGAGAACACAAAGTCAATTATTGTAACAAAATGTGCAGGGACCTGGAGTTAGAAAACCAAAAGGGAGTAACATGCTTGGCATTTCTCAAGCTGAAAGAATTGAAGAAAACATTCAAGCCTTGAGTTGCAATACTGAAAGATTCTATGGACAATATATTGAATGATGTAAGAAACATCAAAAGAAGATGGAAGGAATACAGAGTCACTGTACCAAAAAGAACTGGTCAATGTTCACCCATTTCAGGAGGTGGCATATAATCAAGAACCAATGGTACTGAAGGATGAAGTTGAAACTGCACTGAAGGAATTGGCAAAAAACAAGGAATTGATGGAATATCCATTGAGATCTTCCAACAAATGGATGCCAAGCTGAAGGCACTCACTTGGCTATGCCAAGAGATCTGGAAGACAGCTATGGGGCCAAGTGACTGGCAGAGATCCATATTTGTACCCATTCCAAAGAAAGGTGATCCCACAGAATGTGGAAATTATCGAACAATATCATTAATATTACATGCAAGTAAAATCTTGCTGAAGATAATTCAAAAACGGTTGCAGCAGCGTACCGACTGAGAACTTCCAGAAATGCAAGCTTGATTCAGAAGGGATGTGGAACAAGGGATATCACTGCTGATATCAGATTGATCTTTGTTGAAATCAAAGAATATTAGAGAGATGTTTACTTGTGTTTTATTGACTATGCAAAAGCATTTGATTGTGTGGATCATAACAAATTATGGATAACATTGAGAAGAATGGGAGTTCCAGAACACTTAATTTTACTTATGAGGAACCTGTACATAGATCAGGAAGCTGTCATTTGAATAGAACAAGGGGATATTGTATGGTTTAAAATCAGGAAGGGAGTGCTTCAGGGTTGTATCCTTTCACCTTTCAATCTGTATGCTGAACTAATAATCCAAGAAGCTGGACTATATGAAGAAGAACGGGCCATCAGGATTGGAGGAAGGCTCATTAACAACCTGCAATATGCAGATGACACAACTTTCCTTGCTGAAAGTGAGGATGACTTGAAGCACTTACTGATGAAGAATGAAGACGACAGATTACATCTCCATATAAAGAAAACAAAAATCCTCACAAATGAACCAATATGCAGCATCATGATAAATGGAGTAAAGATTGAAGTTGTCAAAGACTTCATCTTACTTGGTTCTACAATGAACACCAATGGAAGCAGCACTCAAGACATCAGATGATGTACTGCATTGGGCAAATCTGCTGCAAAAGACCTCTTTCAAGTGCTGAAGAGCAAAGATGTTTCTTTTGAAGACTAAGGTGCACCTAACCCGAGCCATAGGAGCTCTGGTAGCATAGTGCCTAAAGCACTTGACTGCTAACAAGAAGGCTGGCGGTTCAAACCCACCAGCCACTCCTCGGAGAAGATGGGGCAATCTACTTCTGTAGTGATACTGCCTCGGAAACCCAAGGAGAGGTTGCTATGAGTCTGGTCTGACTCGATGGGACATAACAACAACAACAACAACCCAAGCCATGGTATTTTCAATCACCTCATATGCATGTGAGAGCTGGGCAATATTAAGGAAGTACTGATGCTTTTGAGTTGTGCTGCTGGTGAAGAATGCTAAGAGAACCAAGGACTGCTAAACAAATCTATCCTGGAAGAAGTGCAGCCAGAATGCTCTTTGGAAACGAGAATGGCCAGACGTCACCTCGCCTACTTTGGTCATGTTGTCAGAAGGTTCCATTCTCTGGATAAGGATATCATGCTTGGTAAAGTGGAGGCTCAATGAAAAAGGGGAAGGCCCTCAATGAGACTGATTGACACAGTGGCTGCAGCGATAGGCTCAAGTACAGCAAGGATTGTGAGGCTGGCACACGACTGGGCAGTGTTTCATTCTGTTGTCCACAGGGTCACTATGAGTCGAAGATGACTTGATGGTACTTAACAACAACAGTGATAAAAGAACTTTCCAAAAAATTTTAAGTTTCAATTAAGTTCACGACTTAAGAACAAGAAAATGAAAATTCTTCTAAACCAGTTGTGTGGCAGGCAGGGGTCTGAGGCAGGCAAGCCTGGGGCTTGGAGGCTGCTTTTCACTTGGGTGTGGCTCTTTATTAAGGCCAGAGACTGAGATAGTTAGCCCTGGGGCTTGAAGGCTGCTTTTCACTTGGGTGTGTTTCTTTATTAAGGCTGGGACCTGAGGTAGATGGGAAAGGGGCTTGGAGGCTGCTTTTTGCTTGGGTGTGGGTCTGTATTAAGGCTAGGGCCTGAGGTCAGTAAGTGCAGAGAGGTTAGGAACAACTAAGGGAGACAAACTTGTCTGTCAGTTTGTCATCCTGTGGTGGCTTATGTGCTGCTGTGAGGCTGGAGGCTATGCCACCATGTTGCAAAATGCCAGCAGGGTTACCCATGGTGGAGAGGTTTCACTGGAGCTTCCGGATTTGGACAGACTTGAAAGAAGGAAGAAGCCATCCACTTCTCAAAGAATTGGCCAGTGTAAACCTTATGAATAGCAGTGAAATACTGTCTGATATATTGCTGGAAAACTTTATGAACAGCCCTGAAGCATTTTCCGACATAGTGCCGGAAGGTGAGCCCATCGAAAGGCACTCAAAATTTGACTGGGGAAGAGCTGATTCCTCAGAGTAAAGATGATCTTAACGATATGAATAGAGTAATCTTTTGGGACCTCCATTGGCTGATGTGGCATGACTCAAAATGAGCAGAAACAGCTGCAAACATCCATTAATAATTGGAACATGGAATGTACGAAGTAAGAATCTAGGAAAATTGGAAGTTGTCAAAAATGAAATGGAATGCATAAAGACTGATATCCTAGGCATCAGTAAGCTGAAATGGACTAGTTTTTG